TGCAGCCAGAGCTCGGCCCGGGGACGCGATGGAGGCACCGCTCAGGGCGCTCGAGGAGCAGCTCCTGCGCGCGTTGGAGCACGCGACGAGCGAGGCGGCGGGGCTCGCCGCGGTCTGCGCCGACTGTGAGCGCCGCCTCGCGGAGCTGCGCGCCGCGGGCGCCCAGGCAGTGGGCGGCAGCCGCCGCCCCCCGCTGCTGACGGAGGACGCGCTCCTGCTCGGCGGTTCACAAATGGGGCCTTGGGGGATAGGGCCCTGAGGGCAGGAGGTGGGCCACAGCTTGAGCCTTGCCTGCTTGAGGCCACTCGTCCTCGGGGCCCCAGCCCTCGGGGTCCCATCTTGGAACCGCCGACCTGCGCTGGCAGCGGTGGCGCGCGGCGCAGGCGGCGCTGCGCGGCGGCCGCGGCAGCGGCCGCGGCAGCGGCCGCGGCAGCGGCCGCGGCAGCGGCGCGCAGCCCGCCGTGGGGCCCGCGCGGGCGGCGTGGCGGGCAGCGCTGGCCGAGGCGGGCGGCCCGCCACACGGCGCCGAGGCGGTGCGGGCGCTGCGCTTCCGCGCGGCAGGCGTGGCGCGGGCGTGCCGGGTGGCGGCCTCGGACGTGCTGCCCTCGCCCTCCGTGTTCCTGGCCGCGCACAGCTCGGGGGTGGCAGAAGTGGCCCTGGCCCAAGGCGCCCTCCAGCTTTGCGCCCCGTTCTGGAGCTCCAGAACCCCGCGGGGCTTCGATAGGGGTGCTCTCAACACCGTGGGCGCATCCCTGTAGCAAGTCTTTGGGACACCTTGGGCCAGGGACGCGTTTGACGACACCCCGAACAGCCCGCCGCTGCCGGCGCAGGGCCCGCCGCAATCCGAGGGTGCAGAGCTGGAGCGACTCTTCCCGCTGATGGCGCTCGGCGGCTGGCTCGCGCGGCTGCACCAGGAGGCCTCGGCCCTGGCGCCCGGCCTGCGCCCTTTCGCCCCCGGCGGCGCCTCCGCCGGAGAAGTGCCGCACGGCGCTGCGCTGCCGGCCGCGTCGCGGCCGCCTCGGGGAACGGCCGCGGAGTGTGTGCGGCAGACGGGCTCGGGCGGGCCCCCGCTTGTGCACCCGCTGGAGCTTCGGCGGCACCTTGGCTCGGACGCCGCAGCGCGGACCGTGGCGGTCGCGGCTCGACGGGCAGAGCACCTCGAGGTGGAAGCGGAGCTCGCAGCGATCTGCTCCAGCAGGCTCCTGCGAGGGGCAGAGTCGCAGCTCAGCCAACAGGTCGCGGGCGGGTCGGAGCAGGGGGTGCTCGAAGCGCTGCACGTTCTACGCTGCGCCGCCTGCCTGTGCTCGGACAGGAAGGCCGCCCTGGGCTTCTGGCCGCGCCCGCCCGCTCCCCACTCGGGCGCCGCGGGGGCCGCCGGGGCAGGTCCGGGTGGGAGCGCGGAAAAAGGCTGCCCGATGGCATGGCTTCCAGGCAGGCCGCATCGTGTCGTGAAGGCCCCCCCCCCCCCTGCTGCAGATCTGAGCGTGAGGGGTCGCGCGAGCCGCACGGGTCGGGGCGGGCGCAGGCCGCGGCGGACGCGGGCCGCGGTGGCCGTGGGTCCCGAGCGGGCCTTCGGCGGGTCGCACGGGCGGGGGGGGGGCGCACACGGCGGTGCTCACCCGGGCCGTGCAGAGCAGACAGTCCGCCGTGGGCGCCGAGCTGTTTGTCGGCCCCGTCGAGGGTGGGTCGCGGGGACGTCGGCGGGCCGCGTCGGCGGGCCTGGGCGCTGGTCGAGCGCTGGTGGCGGTGGGTGCCGCGCTGGGGGCGGCGGGTGGCAGAGCGGGTCACGGGGACAGATCGCAGGAGGGTCGTTGGGCGGGTCGCGGGGCGGGGCGCGAGTGGGTCGCGGGGTTGATCGCGGGGGGATCGCGGTGCGGGTTTCGGGCGGGGCGCGGGGCAAGGACCACAGCAAGATCACCCGGAGGAGTCGCACGCAGCACCATCATGGGCAGTGCGTCTACATGCCCCGCGTCTTCATCGTGGTACCTTCCCCTTCACCGAGACTCGGTGTTACCAAACCGAGATATCCCGCTTTACGTACGAGATTTGACCAACAATTCTTCCAGGACGTTTTACCATCTTCAGCTCAGGTGATACACAGAGGCATCGTAATCGCCCTGTTCCTCGCTGGACACATCCCTGTTGTATCACGGCTAGCTGCTTAATTATCTGCTGCGGGTCTTGCTTTCCTGGGGAGCGCATGAGAGATTGGTTGGGGCCGGTTGGGGTAGCTCGCCAAGTGCTAGCTGGGGGTAGGGGGGACTCAAAGCTTCAGCCTTCAGGAGAGGCCTCCAGATCTCCAGGAAGGGCCCAGCTTGGGAGAAGCCGCAGAGGGCTTCTGGGAGAGGCCTCCGCGCCTCTGGGAGAGACCTCGGGAGCGTTTGGGGGGAGAGGGGAGGGGGCCTCAGAGCCTCCGGGAGAGGCTTCCGAGCGGCGCCTGGGAGCGCCCAAGTGGGTCTTCCAGCGGAGGCCCCAGGGCCAACCTCGGCGCTGCTCGGAGGAGCCTCCGAGAGCCACAGGGGGGGGGCCTCAGAGCCTGTGGAAGAGGCCTCAGAGCCTGCGGAAGTCCTCCTCCTCGTCCTCCTCCTCCTCCTCCTCATCATCCTCATCCTCATCCTCATCCTCATCCTCCCCCTCATCATCTCCTCCATTCCTTTTCCTTGTAAATAGCTTCTCCCTGTCGCACCCCGAGGCCAGTTTTTAGGGTGGGCCAGGCGTTTCGCTTGAGATTTCCTCATCATTCATGACTCCGAAGCCTAATGGCAACATTTTCACAGATGGAGGGCAGGTGGTTTTCAAAATCAGGCTCTAGCCTCAGCGCCGCGCACATTCGTTTTAAAATTTGCAAGAGCTTCATGGAATGAGGGCGGGTGGTTTTCAAAATGTGGTTCTCGCTTTAGCGCCTCGCACATTCGTTTGTAACATTTGCAAGAGTTTTCACGGATTGAGGGCGGGTCGTTTTCAACATGTGGTTCTCGCTTTAGCGCCGTGAACATTCGTTTTAAACATTTGCAAGAGTTTTCACGGATTGAGGGCGGGTTGTTTTCAAAATGCGGCTCTCGCCTTAGCGACACGCACATTCTTGCACAAAAATTGCAAGAGGTTCACGAATTCAGGGCTGCTCCCTTTCAAAATGTGGCTCTCGCTCGAGCGCCGCGCACATTCATAGTATTTGGTAAAGGTTCACGGGTTCCCATGATCAACATACCAGAAATAGTGTGTTGGAAGGATTCAGGGTTACGCGTGTGCAACACTTATGTTGGTTCGCGGTGTTGAAGTCCCATAAGAATGGCTTTCTGGCACGATTCTGGATCGTCAAGACTGAGCAGTCAGATTAATCCGTGGCGTTGAAATCCCGAGAACAATGTTTTGGCATGATTCAGGGTCTTCAAACGGTTGTCTTCCAACGAGGCAGTTCCTTCGATGGAAATGAAGCGTTGTAACAGCGTTGTAGGGACCTATGAGGAGGGAGCTTGGAGGAAGGCTTACATCCAACATCGTTGATGACTCCTGGGTTTACACTGGTCCTGCTCCTCCACCTCCACCTCCTCCTCCTCCTCCTCCTTCTCCTCCTCATCCTCCTCATGTTCCTCCTCCTCCTCCTCCTCCTCCTGATCCTCCTCCTCCTCCTCCTCCTCCTCCTCCTCCTCCTCCTCCTCCTCCTCCTCCTCCTCCTCCTCCTCCTCCTGGCAGCGCGAAGTGTGCGAGGGCGAGCGCCGCTTCGAGAGGACACTGCAGCTGGCGGGCGGAGACGGGGGCGCGGGGGCACACGCGGGCGGGGGTCTGGCAGCAAGGCTCGCCTCGCGATCGGGGTTCCAAGTCCGCGCTGTCGAGTCCACCGCTTGCAGGCCACGCATCCAGGCACATCAGGAGGGGAAAACACACAGGCGCAAATAGTCGTCGAGCCCCAGGAAGAGGTTTTTGACATCATCAGAAGTGGGGGGGGAGGACGAGACTCGAGAAAGTCCTGGGACTTGTGCCTATTTGCTCGTGTGTCCCCTGCGCCCCTTCAGCACAGTGTAAGACCGCTCGGCCCCCTCACTCCGACGCGAGGAGGAGGAGGATCAGGAGGAGCAGGAAGATGCGGAGGAGGAGGAAGAGGAATAGGAGGAGGAGGAGGAGGAGGAGGAGAAGGAGGGGGAGGAGGAGGAGCATCCCATCAACAGGGGGCGATCCTCCTGCGCCCGCCCACGACGGGCCCGCACCATCCGGCCCTCTGCGAAAACGCATCGCGCCCCGAGCTCCAACGTCGTGGCTGTTTCACAGCGTGGACCCCCAGAGGTTTGGACCCCCTCCTCCTCCTCCTCCTCCTCCTCCTTCTCCGCCTCCTCCTCCTCCTCACTTTTCTCCTCCTCCTCCCCGCGCTCCTCGTCCTCCTCCCTCCTCCTCCTCCTCCTCTCCTCCTGCCTCCTCCTCCCCCTCCGCCCTCCTCCTCCTCCACCTCCTCCTCCTCCTCCTCCTCCTCCTCCTCCTCCTCCTCCTCCTCCTTCCTCCTCCTCCTCCCTCCTCCTCCGCCCTCTTCCTCCTCACTCCTCCTCCTCCCCTCCTCCCCCGCCTTCTCCTCCTCCTCTCCTCCTCTCCTCCTCCTCTTCCTCCTCCTCCTCATCAGCATCCTCCTCCTCCTCCTACTCCTCCTCCTCCTCCTCCTCCTCCTCCTCCTCCTCCTCCTCCTCCTCTTCCCCAGAACCCGTTCTTTATCCCGAGCCGATGTGTGACGGCCCCGAGGCCTGGCAAGGGCCCCCGAGGACGAGAGCAGCCAAAAACCACCCGTCGTGGTTGTTTGATCGCAGCGTGTCCTCGGAGGAGTCATGTGGCGCAGCCTGTCCCCGCTGCCAGCCCGCGGTGCAGGAGCAGGCGGGCAGACAGGCATCGACCACACACAAGAGGGACCCTTCGCCGCAGTGACCTTCCTGGTGTGGGCCCGCAGCGGGCCCACACCCAGCAGCGGCCCGCGCGCTCAGAGTTCGCCCCCCCCCCTCCCCCCCCTCCCGCGGCCCCCGCGAGCCGCGCACCGAAGGTCACTCCTGCCCGGGCCCAGAGATCCGGTGTGCAGAGGAGCGACGCAGAGGACACTGGCGCGTCTCGAAGAAGACGAAACAGCATAAACGGAAACTTTTGGCGCGCCGCGCGGATTTCTTGGATCCGCGCTGGGCACCCCCGGCGGTGCCGCCCCTGGCGCGCTCCGCGCGCCAGGGAGGGGGGGTCCAGCGCGGATCCCAGAAATCCGCGCGGACCGTCGAAGGTTTATGTTTATGCAGTTTGTTGTTCCTCTAGCGTCAGCTGCTCGCGCAAGGTCGCGCGAGCGTAGGCGCCCTCGTGTCTCATGTAGCGGACCGCAGCAGCGGCCCGCGGAAGCCACCGCGTAAGGTCGCTATGTCTTTTCGCGTAAGACCGGTTTGGGCCGTCGCTCTGACGTTTTCAAGACGACGTCCCTAGAAAACTCGGCCCCTTCCCCAGGACTGGCGCTGCATCCCGAGTCGCTGCTTGACGGCACTGCGGCTTGGCGAGGGCCCCAGGAGGCAGAGGCAACCGGGGAACGAGCGCCGCCGTGCTTGGCTCCAGCACGTGGGAGGTCTGGGCAGTCAGCCAATGGGCAGCCAGGGCACCCGCGGCACGGAGCAGGAACGCCGCGCGCCGTGCCCTGCCGTGGTGTACTACAGCCGTCCTGCTACCATGGAGAGCGTCGCGTAAGGAACGAGAGGGTTTCTTCTGGCAACGGCGAGGCGGGGGAGCAGCGTCTCCCCCCTTTCGCGCCGTGAACCCCGCTTGCTCTCTCTCTCTCTCTCTCTCTTCCTCTCTCTCTCTCTTTCTCAGCGACTGGGCACGCACGTGCTTGAACGACCGTCATTGTGCCAGGGAGAGCACGGGCACAAGGGTTGGGCCAGCCGTGCGGGCAGCGCTGTGGCTGCTGTGTGGCAGCCCGCGTGTGGAGCTACAGGAACGAAACTTGGAAGAGGCTCCACGACCTGGATCTGAGGAAAGGCCGGATCGGCGCCTTCATCGGCCATGTGTAAGGGTGGCCTTTCGCCGGAGTGCCCTCTGACGCGGGCACACGGGGGGGACGAGGGGGGGAGCGGGGAAGACGGGGAGCGGGGTGGCGGAGGAGGAGAGAGAGGAGGAGGAGGAAGAAGAAGAGAAGAGGGAAGAGGGGGAGGAGCGGAAGGAGAGGAGGAGGAGGAGGAGGAGAGGAAGGAGGAGGAGAGAGGAGGAGGAGAGGAGGAAGGAGGAGAGGAGGAGAGAGAAGGAGAGGGGGGAGGAGGAGAGGAGGAGAGGAGAGGAGAGAGGAGAGGAGGAGAGAGAGGAGGAGGAGGAGAGAGGAGAGGAGGAGGAGGATGAGGATGAGGAGGAGAAGGAGGAGGAGGAGAGGAGGGGGACGAGGAGGTGGAGGGGGAGGATCAGAGTAGACAGGAGAGGGGGCGCAGATGAGGAAGGAGGAGAGGAGGAGGAGGATGAGGAGGAGGAGGAAGAGGAGGAAGAGGAGGAAGAGGAGGTGGAGGGGAGAGGAGGAGAGCAGAGGAGAGGGAGAGCAAAGGAGGAGGAGAGATGAAGAAGAGTAGGAGGAGGACGAGGAGGAGGAGACGAGGAGGACGAGTGAGGAGGAGGAGGCAGGAGGAGAGGAGGAGGAAGAGGAGGAGGAAGGAGGAGGAGGAGGAAGGAGGAGGAGAGGATGAGGTGAGGACGAGGAGGACGAGGCGAGGAGGAGGGAGGAAGAGGAGGAGAGGAGAGTTGGAGAGGCAGGGAGGCGGGGAGGATTAGGGAGAGGGGGAGGGGGTCGCGAGAGGAGGAGGAGAGGAGGTTCATCCCCTTCCTCCTCCCTCCCTACCCTCCCGTAGATACACCTCCCCCCCCGAACCCCCCCCCCCCACCTCCACACCCTAACATCCTCCTCTACCTACAGCTCCTCCTGACACTCCCATTCGGACTACGGCCCTGAGGGCGTTCATAGAAAAGGGGGGTCCCACCAGTATTGGCTGGCGCGCCTGGGCCGCCTGGCGGTGGCCTCCCCCGCGGCCCGCGACAGCGGCGCACCAGAGGTCGCCCCTTCCCAGGGCCCCTCTTGCGTGCAGCCGACGTGCCTGCGGCCGAGGGCAGCCGGGTGTGCAGCCAGCGGCCGTAGGCATGCTGACGGCGAGGTTGGCAACGGCGATGCGGATTTCGGTACCGTGGGAAAGCGTGGCCCGCGCTTCCCTGCAATTCGCTGTGTCGCTTCCGTTCGATGCGCTCGCACGTCGGGAATGCAGGAGAGTGTGGCTCGTGATTTCCGACGGGTTGGTTCCCAACACCACCTTGAAGCAACATCGCCGTCAGCGTGGCCTTGGAGCGGCACGGGCCCCGAAGCGCCCCGCGCCCGAGGTCACAGCGCGCGCGGCCAGCGCCTCGGTGCTGCGCGGCGGCCGCGGCAAGCTCGACAGGGCAGTGCTGCTGAACGACATCGGGAAGATCGCGCGCCTGGCGCCGCGGCTCAGCGCCCACCGTTGAGCCGCCCGATCCGCAGGGGCG